AGAGCATTCGCCAAAGTACATGATAATTCTAGAAACGTTGCGTCACGTGGTCATGTGACTCGCTGACGCAACAATATTTTTGATGGTTTTCTTTCTTTGGTAAGTTATTTTAAATTATCTGGTAAAAATAATTCAACGTCCAGTTCACTTAAAATTAGTTTATTTCCTCCTCCTTTAACGTTTTTACAAATTTGAACACTTGTACACGGTCTTAAACTGTTGTAGGCCTACGTTACAAATGACGTTAAACCCCCTATAACAATGCTGGAATTAATCTAAAATAATTTTATTTGTACAAAGTACTCAATAAGCACAACCGCTAACACATATCCAAATACTTCATGAAAACACACTGACTGATTCACTCAACAGCCTTCTTGGAAAATTCACTAAAATCTTCATAACTATGTCGTATTTATAGTCCAGCTTAGAGTGTACGAGAAAAACTCAAGTCATCATTAAAATCCGCAGCTTCCTACAGCTAACAAACAAATTACAAAATTAGAAATATAGCTGACAACAATATGAAGTTTAACAGATAAATATAGCATCTAGTAACTTTACTCTACACAGTCTTTACTTAACAGGTGTTGAGCTGTAATGTTAATGAAAACCACATTTCTTGCCTCTATTCTGAGATTCTTGATTGTTTACAACACCAAATCTTTACAGAAAGATATCAAAAGAAAGTTACCAGATTATATCTGATAGCCAAAAGCTATTAAAGCATACATAACTTTAAGTTGATAAAAAGTCAAATTTGCGAAAGTCGTTTTTGCATATTATAACAAAAACATATCCACCTGCTGTGAAAAGTTACACAATGTAAGAATTTCCCTAACTTAGATCTATTACAAATTAAGCAAACAAAAACATGAAAGCTTAGATATTAAGGATTATTTGAGTTTATACCGCTGCGCAAAAAAAGAAAGTATATATGAGCATTTAAAATTTATTTTTTTATGTCTGTAGTATTTAAAGCACAAGGCAGTGATACATGGTAAATGCTGAATGATCACAATAAAACTGGCTAAGAGAAGAAAAGAAAAAACTGAATATCTCATTGAAAAATATATGTTTGCAAGTGTGTCACTATGGCAAATTATTTTGCGAATTTTTAATTGACGTGTTTTTATAACTTGTTCGTTCATAATGTTTGCTCGTCTATTTAACAAAAACGTTGTTTGACCTTACTTTAATATAAATATTAGAATTATTATTTTGTATATTTTTTACTCATCGCTTGTGTTTGTGTATTGCTCAAACTATAAGTAATAAATAATATATTACTTATTTATGAAGTTCAGTTCTGAGAGTCCTCTCTACAAAAGTTGTTCAATGTCCCCCAATTCCATAATCTGGCCTTGTGAACAACCAACAAAAAACTAGAAGCCGATAGAAAAATTATTCTAAGCTAACGAAAAATTAAAAGAGAAAATTGTGTTCTTAGTACTTAGTTTAACCACAAGAGAGAAGATCTAACACTATGGTTATTCAAAGTATATCATATTTTCTTATGGCAACATTTACTTTTAACCAGATAGCTCTACAAATGATAAACTTTGCCCAAGCCCTTTTAAAACATACATTTGTGTGCTTATATAAATATATATACATATAATTTGGTGTATATTACTAATCCAGTCAAAGACAACCGTTTTGAATAAATTAGTAGTATGACTTTTTATAGTACACTACTACATAGCAATATCGTTAAATGACCTTAGCGATTATAAACTTGATAAATAATTATCACCCTATAAAGCTGTATATTTCTTCTCCAAATTTTTTCTTTTTTCAGTTAGTGTTATAAAGTTATGGATGTAATATGTGCTGTTAATTTGAATTATTTTCAAATTTTGTTAGATAAGGTATTGTTGCGTATCTGTTCGTTTGTTAATTCCGGTATAAATTCTTTCCGAGAAACTTCAGCGATACAAGTCCTTTCTTAATTAGTTTATTCTTTCTCGATACAACTTTGTAATATACAGAAATCCACAGTCACTTTAAACTTGACTACGTTTATGAACACACGCTATAAATCACAGTGATTCACACACTCTACTTTGCTTGACTCAATTATCTCTCTCTATCTTCAATTTCTCTCCGCTTTATTTGCCGGGCTTATATACTAAAAAAGAGGGCGCCTGGAACAGACTAGAGTTGCCAGGAAAAGTCATGATTCTTCTAGAATCTCATCACGTGTTACCAGCGTCACGTGATTTCCTCTGTCGTAACAGTATCCTTAAACCTATTATAGTAGATGTTTTATAATAATTATTATTATTTAAATGAAGGTAACGCTAGAAGACCAAATGATTGAATTTCACTTTGTTTTTCATATTTTTGTTAATGTGGAAGTTATAAATAAGACTGAGATGTATTTTTCTCTGGCATAATTAACGTTTCGATGCAAAAATCCAATACACTAAAGCTTTCGTTAAACAAACACCAAACTAGACCTATACTTTTAGTGTATGTAATAACAGTTTTCATTTTTCGTACGTTGAGTGAGTATAAAAAAAAAAAGATTTTTGAAGTATTAGGAATTTTCGTTTTGTTCTAACGGTAGTAAACGCTTGTTTTAACCAATTAGAATATATTGTAAAGATGAATAGTATTTGAAAAAAATGTATAGCTTTTAATTTGAGAATAATGAATATCCGACGTTTACACTGCACTTCACCTCCCACGAACTACGAAAAAACGAAATGTTTGGCTCTAAAGCTGATTCCTTATTATTATTTGTAAAATGGTCTGTTTCTTGTTAAATATTATTGGATTTAATTAAATAAGGATATTAATTTTACTTTTTTAGATAAAACTGAACAAAAAAATGCATATTTAGATACCATAATGTAGCGCCATCTGCCATATCTTTACTAGTGCAGGACACATTCGTTTGTTCAGATATTTACAGTGAAGAAGTCTTTAAAAAATTTGTTACTTCATCTTTCGCCGTCTCTGATATTGGCGCCAGGAGGAGTCACATGTAAGTTTGGATCTCTGTTGTTGGAATAGTCATTTTGATTTCCTGTTTATATTATAAACTTAATAATGACGACTTAAAATAAAATTATATCTTTACATTTGTTTCAGTATAGCTGTGGTTTAATATATCCTCCAATCTGGTTAGTGTTATATTAGATAAGATATTAAACATTGATATGTTAAGCCTAACTTTTTTTTGTGGTGCTAGGCGTATACCGCCATATTGGAAGCAAGTTCTAAAGCCTGGCACATAATTATATTTTTGCCCTAGGGATATTTGAAACGTAGTAAGTTGCATATTACTGGAATATTGTTGCTGTGGAGAAAGAAAACAGTTGTGTGTCATTAGCGATACATTAGCTTGAAACGTTAATTAGAAATACGACTGTTTAAGCTGTGAAAAGAGCTAATACTAATAGAGTTATGAGAATTTATTAATTTTTTTCCGAAAATTTTAAATTTAATTTTAAGAAACTAAGGTGGTTATTATCCTATAACTATAATATCTTATTTAAGTATGTTTTTGAATGCAGTGGTCATGTTAAGTTTCCTTTTAAGTTATAATATGAAATAGAAAGACTTTTGGTAGTTAGTTATGACCACCATTTTGGAGTGTTGTTCGCTAAACTCGGTGTTTTGGAGGCAATTGTTACTGGGAAGTTTGAATGATGTGTTAGTTTTTCTTTTTTACTACAAAGAGATTAATATTTTGTCATTTCCAATATTTCCACAAAATAATCAGGATAGGGAATATTTCTGAGAAACGTGCTCTTTTGTAAAACAGAAGGTAACACTTGGCAGTAGTATCTTTTGTGCTCAGTCCACCTTTTAACATTTTTCTTGCCATTAATGTACAAATATCCTTTTTTGTTAGTTTCAACATTATCACTGCCAGCTGTTTCTCATAAGCTCTTTTGGATTTCCTACATTCATTTTTTAACCACAGCTTTCCAAATTTTTCTGTAAATCTTCCATTTTGGCAATATAAACTTCATAAAAGCTGTTTTTTCAAAAAATGTACTAAACACTCTGAAGTTAGAGTTTATAGTTGAAGTTTCATATATTGTGATCTGTGATGTCTGAGCATTTGTCTGCCTCCCATTTGAAAAGCTGAGTTTGTAGATAAAACTCAACATTCACTTTTGAAATTACAGGAGAACAGGCATGAATAATATTGATTGCAAATTTTATTTTGCAAGTAGGATATTCTATACAAAATTGTTAGGAGTTAATCACACTATCATTCAAATTTCAAAATGTGAAGTAACTTAAAGAATAGAAATACAGATTTACCTTATGTTGTTGTTGAGCGAATCTTAGCAAGACAGAAATTCTTAACAATTTCTTTTCGTGGTGAGTGGTGTAAGTAGTTTAGAGCATTAGCTCTGAGCGAAACCAAGAGTGCAACACAATTAAACTTTTCCCATCACTGGGGATGGGTACTTTTGCTTGTAGACTATATGATCATTCCATTTAGATTGTTCTGTAATTGAAATTAGTATCACATCTGCCTCTGTTAACCAATGCTTCCTCTCATTTATGCATGAGTAAATTATAATTATATCCTTCTTGTCTATTTTTAGTTGCAATATTCTTAAAGTACCAAAGATACAAGGTATGTTGAAGTCACCAGAAAGGTTTGACCATTAATAAATTTTTTTTACATGTTTACAAAAAACCACTCTGTCTTTATTTTAAATTTTTATATAAATTTCAGTGTTGATCAAATGTGTTTTGAAAAATGAGATATGTATTCAATTAATTTAACTGACACCTGATGTAGTCCTACAGCCAAAAATAGTCTTGTTTTTTAAAGTACTAGGTAAAAACTTATGCTTCATATACAAAACATTTTTTTGGTTCAGGTAATTTGTATTGAATGCAAAAAATTTATAAAATGTAAAGACAGTGCTGTGTATTTAAAGTAATTAAACAGTGATCTGCATAGATTATTTGCATAAGGGATTAGGTATATAGAATTCTGAACAAATCTGATGGCTGTGCTGGGCATCTCAATGAATGTGAGATTAAACCTATTTCAAAACACATAATACTCACCAAACATCCCTAGTACAAAAAATACTGATCCAAATGGTGTGATAAAAATGACAAACTGATTGACTTGCCTAGAGACACCAGATCTAATGGGGCTTTCAAAACCTGGTTATTGAGGACAAATATTAAAATTCATCAGGGTGGTGGTACCAATACTCTGAGTGTCTATAAACACACACAAAGAAATTCACACACAAAAACCTTAACACATAAATGCTGCTGTCTGAGATGGGGCTCTTTGGGATGACAAATTCATTCCCCAAATGCCTTTCCCTTTGCAATGCATAATAATATTGACACCCACCTCTCTTTTCTGCATATAGTGATGTATTTTAAAAAACTTCCCATGCATGTAAATGCTTACTTTTTAATTTTATAACTTGTGGTTTGCTTTGTTTAGTTGAACAAAGTTTATTAACTATAAAAAGTTATTTCAGAATGCCTTTAAATACCCTCAGAAGAATGCTACATTCAGTAAATGATATATTTTGTGACATCGATTATAAATCAGAAAATTGTTGAATATAAAAGTGAGATTACTGGTTGGCACAGAGTTACATATACTTGATTCTTGGGATTGAGTTTCAGATGTTATATAAACACAAGTTATATTTAGATTATCAAGAATGTGGTTTCTTCAGTGTATAAACAGACAAACTTTACAGGACATGCCACTTGTTAAGAGGTGGAAAAGAATAAAAAGTTTATTTTAGCACAGTATTCTAATGCAAGATGAGACAACATATTTTGAATAAACAAAATGTTAATTTCACCCATCTGTAATTGCACGTTAGGTGAAAAAAAAATGTAACATTGCCAGGAAAAAATAACAAGTAGGATTTTGTTTGTATTAAACTATAAGTAGAAAATGTTTTCTAAGTATTCTATTGAATCAAGAATTAAGTTTTTTTATTTTCATATCTTTTAGCAAATATACATTGTTTTTTTTTATTCTTATAGCTTATTTACTTCCCATAAAGCACTGTGGGATATCGGCTGAAATCTTTCTTACTAACGCACAGTTGATCAAATACTTTCTCTTAAAATACCTTAGAGAAGTAGTAATTGTAGTTTATTTATATTCAACACATCTTAATAACATTAAATAGATCTTTATAAAAAATATTATTCATCAACTTATTCCATAACTTATACGTGTCAATTATATTTTTAATAAAAGCTACAAAAAATCCAATTAACTAAACTAAATAATGTAGACTAAGGTGCTCATTTTTTGTTTCACAGTAATATGTAGGCATTGTTAAGCTTCCAAAGTGTAAACAAATTTTCCTAGGCCTTATGATGACTAAATTTCAGTTGTAGCCGATTTATACATAATTATTCATGGAGTATGTTTTTATAATACTATTCTACATGACAAAGTATAATGTAGAAGAAAAAATATGTTAAATTTTTGTTTTGTTACCTTAAGAAAATTATGTATAATTGATACTTCCAAATTTTAGTGCTGTTTTAATTTATTGTTTATTGAAAATCAGTTAGTACATTTACAATTGTAATTTGTGAAATGGTAAAAGGTTGGTACAACTGAGTGGATAAAGAATACTGCTTCATGAGCATTTGTCTCATGATCAGATTTGTATGTTCGAGACATGCCAGTGCATGTCACGATTTTCAACAGAACACAAATAGGAAAGTAAGGGGTGTGATGAAAAAATAATGCATGCACAGTGTGGAAGTAAATTCATAGTTTACACCAAAGAATATAGTTATTCTAATTATAAATTAGAATGTAACACAAAGTAAAACAACTGTAAATTCACATTTTATTTAACACTTAAGTAATTCATAAGTTGGTGCTGCTAGCCTTAGTAGCTTTGCCATAACTCAAAAACAAATGTAATGCCCGAGGCTGAAAGGGTTATCATATTTCACACATTGTTTGGTAGCAATGGGAATCAAACTTGAGACCCTCGCACTACGAGGCAACCCATTCTCATCACTGAGTAATGTTTGCCAAAAGTTTAAACTCGAATTAATAAAATCAATAATAATGAGAATTTGAAATATTGTAATGATTACCTGAATAGTTGGAGTAATAGAACATGGTAAAAATGTGAAATCCTAATTTTGATTAGTTGATTATTTTCATAAGTCATGACATTAAGCTAAACAAAATTGAATAGTTTAAAACAGTTATATCCTATGAGGGTATGGTGAAGAAAAAAACACAAAGCTGGGTTACATCTTGTACTGTCCCTGAATGACAAATCCAGAGAAAGATCTTATTTTCAAATGTATGTAAAGTTGACTTTCGTACACAACCAGTTTAGTAATTCTGAACAATATTAGTTCTTTAAACTAGAAGTCTGTTCAAGTAAATTGCTAAAAACAAGCTTAAATTGAAGACCTTGTTTTTTTTTGTTTTTTTTACATTGCTGCTTTTGACGTTTGAAAAGTATAAACAATTTTGTCTAAATGTAATCATTATTTGAAAAGCTTGCATTTGCAAAACTTTAATATAGCGTGCATATTTTTATTGTTTTGTGCTATTTACAAGGTCATTCACCACAAGTATTGAAGTTTGATTCTGTGAGGATATTAACTGGAGACAAGTGATCTTCTAGACCATCTTGTTCAGCATGTGTTCTTTGTGCATCTAATTTGTAACAGCTACATGTTACAGTAATGTATGATACTGTCTTAGTTGTCATCTTCCTACTGCTTTAGTATACTAATATTAGTATATTTGTTGCAATAAAAAACAACCAGCATAGTGCATCTGAATCAAAATTTTGTAATATTTTATTACAGAAAAAAGAATTTCATTAACACCAGGAAGTTAAATCTTGTGTATTATTTATAATTTTAAGAGTAAAAGTAAAGAAGAATGCATAACAATATGCCAACTGTGCTGTATCTGCCATATCCAGTGCCTACTAGACCTTTTGTTTAGTAACAGGGCTCATCAAGCCGGCTGGGATGTGACAGACGGTATTGGCTTAGATACAGAAGATACTGAAGATGGAATCTGACAGAATTCCGAAACGTTTATCCATGTCCCCTTTTTGTCAATAAACAATGTTGTATATCATAAGTGTCGTAATCTTGTTTATAATCAAACTTAGTTTTCCTTCGAACACATCGATTGCTAATGGTTTAGATACTGTTTATATTATCGAATTATGTAACTGTAATAGTGAGGACTACATTAAGTCAGTGAACTGTGTATAAGTCACAAATTAGAATCAGGGTAAGGATTAATAAGATATAATTTATTTTTACTTGAATTAACTTTATAGTTTTATTATTCCTGGAACAGGTTAAGCAACTACAGTGTCAATGGGAGAAGACTATGTTAATAAATAGGGTTATATAAAAATGTCAACCAAATTATATGTACTACATTAAATGATGATAAGGCCTACCCAGTTTTAGGACTCAGTGTTATGCATTGGAAACAATCTTTGAGATTTGATGTTTTTTTAAGGATGTCACAAAAATTTAAATTGGTGATGTGAAACCCAATTGTGTTTAATTGTACATTTTTCATGTAGTGTTTTACATATTTTTCTTAAAATTCAGGTTCAGTAGTTAGTTGGTTACATGACAATTCCAAGGTTAGAACTTTTATCAGATATGTTAAATTTTTTATAAAAGGTGACCATTTGTAATTTCTGATTATATCAGAGCAACCAGCAAAAAAAGTAAGATGGAAGATGATACAGTCTATGACAAGGCCAGTGCTGGTGCTTCACAAACTTATCCAGCTCAGTGCTCCTCCTTGCGTAAGAATGGTTACGTGATGCTGAAGAGCCGTCCATGTAAAATTATGGAAATGAGTACTTCAAAAACTGGAAAGCATGGTCATGCAAAGGTAGATTTTAAAATTATCTACTTCATGTTATAAATTTTTATAATTACAACGTCAACAAATGTTCTTTTTTTGTGGAATGAACTTGCGTAAATAATTGGATGATTTTATGTTACCTCATTAACCAGTTCATACAATGTATATATATTTATTATCATCACAAATTGAAGAGTATTATATAATTATGAATACTAAAATAAAGGTTTTTTTTTTTTGCCTTGATTACTCACTTTGAAACTTGTTAACATAATTTGAAGTTTAAATTGAGTCTTGTGTTAAGTGTGTAGTTATTTTTGTTGTAGTTCCATAGTTGTTTATATCCCAATTATAATGCTAGTTATATGTTTTATTGTATTGGGAAATACTCTACCATGTTACCAAGGTTTCATCATAAAAGCAGTGAATACTATTTTAGTAGTACTGAATTACATTTATTTCTGGGGTTTTAAATTGTATTTCTTAGTTAAGATAAACTATGACATTGTAAAAAAAATATCTTTGTAAAAACATGTAGATTGTGTATTGTAGTTGACAAATTAAGGAAAATTATAAAATCAGCTATATGTGTTTTTTATTGTATTGAAGATCTAACTTCTGTTAACTTGCCACAAGTAGTTGTTAGCAAATATTCATGACAGTTATTTTATGGATGATTGTTTTTATGCTTCTCTTCACTTTGGAGATATAATTTATGATATAGGTATCTGAAAGCAGAGATAAGTTTTAAAAATTAAACATATTATAAATAATGAATATCAGAAATACATAATGCATATATTTTAGTGTATGCCCATTTTTGATAACTTATGAAATCACTTGAGTAGTGATAATTTTGTGTGAAAATAAATTACCACAGCAAGATTTGTAAATATAAGTTTTATTTCCAGGTTCATCTTGTGGGTATAGACATTTTCACTAACAAGAAATATGAAGACTTGTGTCCATCAACTCATAATATTGATGTGCCTAATGTTAGCCGCAATGATTTCCAGGTATGTAATCTGTTCATTATGATTGGTTGCTCTTATCTCCTATTGTGTAAGATACTATGAGGAATTTGATGCTATTTTTTTCTTGAGTTCTGAAACTTTTGCTACAATTATAGGAAAATATACTAGTCACTTGTTTTATCAATAGATAATTTTAGTAAGTCTGGTGGGAGAGGGATGGGTTTATTATGTCCACAGTGAAAGAGTGATAGTTTTAAGTAAGTCTGTGGTGGAACAAGGGTGGTTTTAAGTAAACCTGTGGTGAAAGAGGGGTGATTTTAAGTAAGTCTGTGGTGTGGTTAATTTGTACTAAAACTTCGTATTCAAATTTTAGTTTTAGTAAATAAATCGCCTGATTTATCATTCTTCTTATTTCTAATGATATTTTTCTTAACCTTCACAATTATTTTAACAGCTTATTGATATCAGTGATGATAATTATGTTACTCTGATGGACGACAAAGGCGAGACTCGTGATGATCTAAAGATTCCAGATGGTGAGCTGGGACAGAAAATAAGGGAAGATTTTGGAAAAGATGAGGCAACTGTTATTGTGAGTGAAAATATTTTTTTTTTCTTTGGCAGGATTTCACTGAGAATGTTAGGAACTTGTTCATTAACTGTTTCCGAAGTAAGAGGTTTTTGGAAGCTATAATTTTGAACAAGTATCTTCTGGTTTTGGAAAGATAAACATCCATCTTATTTGATGTTTTTACTTCAAAGAAATGTAATCATTAATCCTATTCATACCATAAGGTCATGAGCATCTCACTGTCTTTTTACACTTACATTGAAAATTTAATTAAACAAGTTTATTCTCGTATGTCAGTAAGCATGTTAGTTTAAATGCAGTAGACTTGGGACATTATATTCTAGTACCTGTTACATATTTTTTTGTTTTAAAATCCATATTTGAATAGAACATTGTGTGTGAAGAAACTAGTGTTAAAATAGACTTGCATTCTTGTGTAAGTCCAAAATGTGATTTTTGGTAAATTTTTTTATTGTTATATATTTCTTAACAAAAGTAACTACCTTCTAAAAATTAAACTTTTTAGGTTAGATCCAAAAATAAGCAAGAAAAATTTCACAAGACCAGCATAACCTAACTGCATCGTGTGATTAGTAACCTGATTGGTTGTTTACATTAAGATCTGCTGTGGCTAATTGTCTATCATGTACTTGTATATGGGTATAAGGGCATTGTGAATAATAAAATTAAAAACAAGATGTTAATAGATTAGTTAGGCTGATTTGATAACTAATTGTAATTGTCTGTTATAATCTGCAATCATTCTGGAGAAAAAAGTATTTATTGTATTTCATATTTTTCTTTGGTTTTGATACAGTTAGTGTTAGGGTAAAGAAAATATAAAAAATGTTATTATTCTTAGCATGAAAATCATTTTTCGCTGGGACTGACTTGACAGATTTTATGAAGGTACATATAGTAAATTCAGAGTTAAAGTATGTATAGTTTCACACACTTTCAAAAAGGGTCAAATTGACCCACTTTGTATGGAAAGTTAATTTTGGGTACTTTTTAATTTGCTGGGACTTATAGCTGATTCATCATATAGTAAGTTAATTTAAAATGTTCATCTGAATCATGATTATTTTTTCAAAATAAAGTTAAATATTTAACTTTTGTGTTTTGTTCTTAATTAAACTTTGCTATAAAGATTGAAAAGAGTTAAGCTAGTATGAATTGGGAATTATTTTGTATATATTCACCATGGCTACAATTTATGTGAATTAGGTTTTTGATGCAGCTTTGTCATGAATGAAATTGAATTGTGATAGGTGTGTCCTCTACAAGTTGTAATAATTAACAGGTTTCTATTCATACAGTGTTGTGAAAACAGTGAGTAGTTCTGGCATGCCTGGTGATTACCACCTCTGGAAATGAACTGTAGCAGAGTACAATCACATGTTGATAATGTACACTTTGATTGGTTGTTAGTTATCTTATAAAAAAAATGTCACATCAGTGTAAAGCCTTTAAAATTACAGGTAGTCATTCATTGGTCAGTAGTAATTGTGTGAATCTAGGTATAATATATCACATAAGCATATGGAAATGAAAGATTCCATGTTTCAGTAGGAGCTGTGTGCCAGATTGGCAAGGGTACATGAAAATTACACTGTTAATAATAAAACTAGTTGAGATAATATAATAGAGAGCTCTGAAAGTGATATTATGTATTATGGCAGGTTCTTTACGAGATAGCTGATGGTAGAGTACAGATTTTTACAATGACTTTGCTTTAAATAGGTCTGATTATTACCTTGACAATAGTAAGGTAAACTTGAAGTGATTGCAGTGGAAGTGTAGCTACTCAAACCACTGCTGACTTCAAAAGGTTGAAATTGTCACTGTAAAAAAAGTTGATGATGTGTGCTCTATAGATGAATACAAGTTCTAATTGCTGGGCAACATTTAACAACAGATTGTTCAACAGGAGAATGGTATCATAATCAGCATACAACATGCACAGTAAATAATATGATCAGAGATGTTTGTGAGGTGTCTGATGAAGTTAGTTACTTAGTATTACAAGACATTTTTTTTTGTATGTTTATGGTGTGATGATATAACTGAAGTAGTTAATGTATGTTTTAAGATTTTAAAGCTGTCAACAGTAAAGGATTATGCACTTGTGTGTGTGTCATAGCTGTACGTGTTTAAATTTGTTCTTATTGCTCAAGATTGTAGGTTATTGGATGATGATTGATATCATAATGAATTTAGTGTTCTCTGTAGTTAGGTTTTGCCTGTGAAAACTACTGTAGTGAAACATACCACCAAGATTTAGCATTTTGCTTCACATCATTTTGGTGAAATTACTGTTGCTAGTGGTTGTACTGACCTGTTTATTTTTCAGTAAAGAAAATTGCTTTATACCCATGTCTTCTTGTTAGTACCAAGGCCCATGTTGTGTGATGTTAACGTTTAAACAAGTTATTGTGTAGTTTGTTTTTATTGTGAATTGTATGTGTTTTATGTATTGAAGCACGTTTTTGTTCATCATGACAAGTAAGGCTGTAAAATACAGCATCCACATATTTAAGGCAAAATGCAGGCTTACCGTAAAAGCTGTAACTTCTAATAAAATAATACTTAGTCATTAAGTAATCTCCAAATGAAACTATTAATTATGTTACATTGTTTTTCCTGCTAGGTGACAGTACTGTCTGCTGTAGGTGAAGAGGCTATAATTGCCAGCAAGAATGCTACTAATTGAACCCAATTAGTAAAATCAGTGTGCAGTAGGAAAACTGCTGTGTTGCAAAGGATAAGGACGTATTCTTGGAAATGTGGTATTCTGATTCCATACCATCACACGAGGAAAAAAATATATATATTGTAGATATAACCCTAAGTTTGCTTTTTGTGAGAATGGTATATTTTCATTCTAATGTTACAGCAGGGAATCAAATTTTAAAACACACAGTATTCTCTTTATTTCTTTAGCTTAGTCTGCTCTATATATGATTTTTGAATAATGCTATTATAATTGACATCACCTGAAAAATTATTGGAAGTCTCTGTCCAATTTCTCAAGGATTAATTTTTATAACTTTGTGTTCTTAATTGAAAAGTTTTGTAAGTGATGGTACGTATTTTCAGTACATGCAGTATAATTCCTTATTCAGTTTCATCCAAATTGCACCCAGATCGAAAAGTTTAAACAGTAGGAATTTATATAAAAAATGTAAATCTATCCTGTTATCAGATTGTTTTTTTAATTAACAAATAGTTGGTTTAAACTAGAAACCAAAAAATGTTGTTGCAGTGCCCATTAGGCTAATTTTATACAATATTAATAGGCTATTGGTTAGAAATCTAAAGCTAAAGAAAAAATACTGTTTGAAAAACGTTTATGGCAACTGTGCTTTTGAGCTTGAATAAATTAGAAATTCTTTACAAGTCAGTGCACAATTTTTGATATTTTTACCATATGCAAGGTACATCGAGAGAAAAATACTGATTATTTTATAAATGTTATTTTAATCCACTGTGAAAGTAAGCTGCTTACCAAAAAGTATTTTTGTGTTAAGTTGTACATATTCCCTGCATTATAAATATAATTAAATTTGTTTATTAGCATTATTTAAAGTCAGTATTCATCAATATACTGATGAAGTAAATATCCATTCATTATAAAATAAGCAGATTTTTTTTTCCAGTTACAACTTAATCAAAAACTTATTGCTCTCAACAAGTGATGATGCTTTAAAGATTTTCATCAGAGTTTTACAGATTTTTAAGTGTTTCTGTAGTCAGATAAAAATCAAGTACATAGTTAATATTTTACTTGGTTGTGGTAGATTTAGTTTGTAGAAGACTGAAAATGTATTTAAAAGACGACTTCATGGCCAAATTTGACTGTTTAAAACTTGGTACACAACTGATGTGTGGTTTGTAAATAAACAAACTTTTAATTATTCACTGAAAATACTCAATTATAGTGGTACAGGTTATTTAAGAATGAGATCCTGAAGGAAGATTCCAGACTGCTTCAAATAAACATTTTTAATTCAAGTAATTCAATCTGTATGAACTTACAAATTGTTTTATTATTGAAACTCATCAACATATTTCAGTGTATTTGCTAGTTAATATGCAAAAATGATGTATCAGTGGATTTGGAAAATCTTTTTTTTAAGATATGTTAGTAAAACTAGAAATTACTATTACTGAAAGAAGCTTACTAAGAAATTGTGTTGCACTATTTAGCTAAAGGGTAATGTTCCTGTAAGATATATATACTGATTAAGCTGGTAATACAAGTTCAATTTCAAATGCAACTTTGTCAGATAAGTTTTTCTACAAACTATATTTTTAATTACCTTTGTTTTGAAAATAGTGTCTTTAAGAGTTTTTACATATGGTGACAACATTAAGAGCTAACTGCTTATTTCACTGGCTTAGATTCTCTTAAATTGTGACCACTGATGATAAAATAGAAATCACTTATTTTGATTTGAAAAACTAATGTAGGTTTAGTTAGTTACTTGACGTAAGGTTTTAGCATTTGGATATGACTTTATCATGGTTAATAGCTTATATAATTACCTAAGACTAGATTTTAATTTCATGACTACTAATTAGTTTATGTCCTGTGTTTTGGCTGTCTTCAGGGATGTTGTGGTATGAAATTTATTGGTCTTCTTGTTAGGAAGGCTGGTGAACCGTTCTTTGTTTGAGAGAGAGGGCAAGAGGTTATTAACCAAAACTTGGATATGAACTAGTATTTAGTAACAGTAATAATGGACTTAGGCAATAGTATAGGTTAGTAACCACAACATTAATAGTTTTAGAATCGGTTTAACAGGTATATTTTTTATGGCCTTTATGTAAAACATAAGTGCGAAACAAAATAAAAAATCATTAGTATTGAAAAAAATTCAAAGTTCGATAATCAAATACTTGTCGTGTGATGTACGACCATTAACATTTTTTATGTCCTGAATGATAAATGTATGTCTGGTGTTAATAAGTCATATTTTTTTGGTAAAATGAATTTATATTTTGTCTTATATTATGTAAAATACTTAATTTTTGAAAGGGTTTATTATTCCTAAAATGGTCTGGTAGTAATTCTTTAAAGTTTCAACTGGTTTTATAGGTTTAGTGTTCATAATATACTGGATTAGCAGGTTAAAAACAAATACTTGGTGTGTTTAATCTTTTTTTTCTTACTCACTTTATTTATTATACTGTTTTATGGTTGGTAAATGATAGGTATAATATTAATCCATTTTTTTTACTTTTTTAATCGCATTCCTTACAAACAGCAGTACATTTTTATGATATCGAGTTAAAATCTTGCAAAATGGTAGTTTTATCCATTATTATGAAAGTAAAGCATTCTAACATGTTTACTGGATAAGAATCATTTGACTACTGTGTGCATGATACGTCTGAACTGATTCGTGACTGCTAACCCTTTTAATGTATATTTAAACAAGTTTCTTCTTCTAGTTATCTCATGATTAGGAAGAGCTCATGGTATTACCTAAATGTATGTATGGAAGGAAAAGACATAATCATGCTAATTTGAGTTTGCAAAAACTTCCAAAGATTTGTTTCTGGTAGTAAACCAACCATGTTGATACAGCAGATGTTAAAGTGAGGCTAGAAGAGATTCTTTTCCTTTTCTTATTAAAATGCTGAACTAATGATATGAAAAATTAAGTCTCATTTTGAGTTATTTTATTACAAGTTTTTATAGTAAGTAAGATTTGTTTTTAGAACAGATATGATGTTTCAATCACTGGTGTGATCATTTTGAGGTTATCTTGTGTACTTGAGAATGATTGCACCAGTGATTGAAACATCCTCCCATGTTCTAAAAACAAATTTTACTTACTGTGAAGAGTGGATTAAATACTATTGTAATACGTGTTGTTGTTGTTGATTACCGAGATAGTTGAATAATGTTAATAAATCTTTCATTTATACTTGTACTAGTTCCATTTAAGTCGTTTTCTAATCATATTTCAAGTTACTATGAAGATTAAATTGCTATTTTTATCAGTAGTAATTGTAACAAAACCATCAACATTTATAACCAAAGAAATATACAAAAATATGGTATAGTTTCTTTGAGAATGTTTGCATTCCAAATTTTGTTCTTTTGCAAGTTAAATATTATAAATGATTTAAATCTTACACGTGGATGGTTCAGAGAAAAAAAAAGTTACTGTACTTTATGGGAGTTCCGACATCTAAATACTAGCTACAAATTTGTCTACTCATTACTGTGAGTGTATTACCACAGAATTCTATTTGCATTGTTTAGTTTAGAATCTATTAACATAGTTTTGAAACTGGGATAAAAAGTTTTCACCATACCAGTGTTTTCTTTACTAGATAAGGACAGTCCCACATATGAACTGACGTGCATTAGTTTGTTTATTTTTATTAAAATCTACCACAAGCCATTTTAAGATTTGTTGATAAATTGTGTGGTGTTATGTAATTTTTGTACTTGAAAATTACTTCTCTGCGAGTTATATTCTATAATGTTCCAATATTTTTTTTTTACCAAGACAAGACTTAAATAATAACCAACCTATTTTTCTGAAAGCTACAAATTCCCTTCAATTGTTTAATATGAAAAAAAGTACTTTTGTAAAATACCTATAACTTTATTTGTAGTATTTACGTTTATTGTTATTCCTATCTGGGAATAATTTACAATGATTAAAATTGCCACTCCAAAAATGCTATGAATAAAAGTAAAAATGAAAATTTTGAATACCTATAAATTGAAGTAAAATATTTCTAGTTAATAAAGTTGAAATATTAGGGGTGTAATAATGCAATAAGTTAAACTCACCATTGAAGGTTGTTTCATTAGTGATCAATTTTCTGTGTATAAAGATTATCACTTGGGTGTAATAAGTATATCAACAACTCCTATGTTCCTTGGCAGTATATTGATTTTGAAAAATACAGCAATGTATGGCTCAATATGTAAACGCTAAAATTCAAAACCTTTCCTCTGGAAGAGCTTCTTATATCTGAGCAAAAATGTTAAAGCCAGTATTGCTATTAAACTTTGTGAAATGCTGCTACTGTGGACAATAATATATATAACATGTTCCTCACATTATAAAGCAGTTGTATATCACAACCAATGATATCTTTACTCAGATTTGTTTCCAGTATCTACTGTCAGTGTTTCAACTTTACTAAACTTTCTGTAGCATAACTAAACACACACTTCTGCTGGTTTTAACGTGTTTTCACAAAAAGGTGGTTTTTAGCTTCTGTTGTTTATTTTCACACAAAATGTACTGTGATTTATGTGGGTTGTACTGTTTATTAAAATATTTTCTCAGTTGTGGAGTAATGGTTTGGTTGTTTATCCATTTTGATGTGTGTGTATATGATATAATAAAAGTATTTAAAGACATTTTGTACAAGTAAACATGCGAGTCACAAAAGTACAAACAGAATACACATTCTAATGAGATAATGGTGGCAGTTTCTGTTGTTCTGTCCTCTTCCAGATGCTTAATATTACAATCTTGTTATTGTATATTAAATGACAGAGAAATAAAGACAAAAAGGCTGAAAGTATCTGACAATTTTTTTCAACAACTTTACAAGCTTTTCTTACTTTGAAAGCAAATGAAATGGTGATAATAAGTGACAACGTGTCTGAAGATGAATAATGAATGTACAGATACAAATACAATACATGTATATACAAATTATACAGATGTCACTTTAACACTGATAACTTGACCATTTGTCCAACTAAAGTAATGAAACCATTGTTATGCAGTATTCACATGCTACTTAAAAATCAAATTATATTACTACAATGCCTGTACAAGTTGCAATGAAAACTACTAGTACTTGAGGGGGAAAAATACTGTTTTCTCCTATGATAACATAAATAGTTTAAACAAAAGAAATCTAAAGGCTGTACAAAAACAATAGCAACAGCATTATAACAAGTGGATCTGAACTGAAACCCTAACAAAGTTACCACAAATATCTGGAATAGTGACATGATCACTATATATATATACTGCCATGAACTGTACTATGCCTTCATGTTAAGCTCTCCCAAAATCTTCTTACTAGTGAATATGGCATTAATAATGTACACTAGGTATACACTAAAGTCATTAACAAGTTCTGCCGGGGTGGTTTTTCAATCTTGGTATTGTCTATTTTTCTGCACTTGGTCCTAATTAAATGCAGGATGTGTGCTTATATTAGACTTCCCTGAAATTAGCTTACATACACAAATGAAATGTGTATATATTTTTTTTACATTAATCTGATAATATTTACACTGTACATTATCCCACTATATAATCATATTCTGAATTTTGCAAACAAATTCTTTGCTTGGACAATTTCTTCCTCTCTCTCTCGTTAATGTCTTTCTTTCATGGTTTCTGTTGACACTTGGAAAATTAGTCATCGAACACTAGTAAATGCAGAAATATAGATAATAGGTAAAGTTGTGCAATACAATTTAACAAGACTTGATGGAATTTCAACTGCATTTCATGAGGAGAGAAAACTTCAAGGGTGGAGACACTGATAAAAATCCTTCACTGTAATCTACTCATCTTGGCAGTGAGCTGTAACAACATTTGAGCCATAGGTAAGCATTGGTGACATTGTCGTTTTAAGTATGTACTCTTTTTAACCCTGCACAAAGAACCTCATCAATCATCACAGTTGTGCTATATGTTTCACAGTGTACTGTAAACATCAGCAACACAGAGGATTAAATTTACCACTGTATAAATCACGATAAAATTTATACTGCCTTAATAAAACTAAATGCCTTGAACCCATCAGGCGTTTAGTTTCAAAAAACATTTTTTTTTCTTTAAAAGTGCAAATGGTGGAGGAATTTTACATTTCTATAACAATTCAGCAAATAATTTGGCTGGATGGCATAAAGCCTGCATTCCTACCAGGATCAAATATATAGAGAATGTAGTGGTCAAACTTGGATTATAGGTTTCTAGTTGATAAACCCACCAGATGATCCCCTCTCTTGTCCACAGTTACACAGTAGCAATGATTATCAAGAGATGGGCAATGTCGCTCACACTATGGAGCAAGTCTGGAGCAATGCGTGCCATATTTTCATTAGAGAAATCACAGGATGGGAAGATGTGAATAACATAGGCAGCCTAAAATGAGAAAGGTTTTTTAAATTCATCCAGTCTTTTCAATTACAACTTTAATATCAGTATTTCAAAACTAGACATTGAATTCCAGTAATTTTTTTACTGACACAACTGGTCATTTATAATCTGGAAGAAGAAGAAAAAAAAGATGTATTTTTTCTAAATATTGTATAATAATGAGAGAGTGAATTTTTCAAATAAGAGAAATTCTACCAACAGAGAAAGAGACCTAACTCGGTAAAGATATGATGTAAAAGATAGAAAGTATCACAGGCAATAACCATTTTAGAGCAACAAATGATAGATCAATTATTCTTTCTGGTAAAGAGACATACATGTATATCAAGGTATAAGTTCATGACATTAACATAAAAGCTAATAAAATCAAATGCTTATTTTTTAAAGCAAAGCCACATTGGGCTATCTACTGTAGGGAATCAAACCCAAACTTTTAGCATTGTAAGTTAGTAATCTTACCTCTTTCCCACCAAGGGGACTAAAGAGATGATATCAGAATAAAGCATGACAATTTTAAAACCTTGGAAAATTTAAAAAAAATAAAGCTGAAGATCATGTACTTAAATATTCTGTGGAAGAAACTTTTAAAACTGGGGGTGAAATTATCTGTTGTTAGCCTAAATAAAAGCTTAAAATTATGTGTGTAATTACCTGCTGGGAGCCTGGAGCTGCAGCATTAACAATACCAGCAGCCTGTTTGAGTTGGAGATAATTGATGAAACCATTACGAAGGTTGTTGGACTGCTGGAGAACATCCATGTGATCTCGGCCACACGGTAAAGCCAAGAGTATGCAGTGTTCTTCTAACATCTGGTAAAAAGAAATGTGATCAGTTCATTATAGTGTAAAACTGGTGTATCATTACCTGTTATTTTATAATAGGTGTGATATTACATCAAAATAAAAGGTAATAATAATTTTTCATCACAGCCTTCTTTAGTGGCCAAAGCACTTGTTTCCAGCAAAGAGTTTATCATGGCACTACTATTGTGTATTGCTGCTAAAGATCAACCTGATTACAAAAGTCTTGATTGAAATGCTGTTTATATCAGTTGCAAAATAAGATGTTATTTATTCAGAACTATAAAGCAAAAACTATCTTATGTCATTATCGTGCCATTCATGTGAATTCCTTTGCTAAACAATTAAAAAGAGTTTTTATTTTAAGTTGTTATGTCATAAATGTAGTTGGGCCTGGTAATTAAGGCACTTGACTCGAAATTTGAGGGTTGCAAATCTGAATACATGTTTGGCAGACCCTTAATTCGATGGGGATTAAGGTCGAAAGTAAAAGTAGCTAAATTCAAATAAATCTTTCTAATACTCTAATAAAAACTAAATATTGAAGGCTTTATGCTTGTACTATTTGATTCTAATATGACATCACTTTTTGTGGCATGATTTGTGCTTCTATTTAGTTGAAGCCAACAAGCCTCATTATAGGCTGCAATTACAGATCTGTGTTCTGTAAGCCTAATGATTTATAAATCATGTCTACAAATGTAGAAAAAAAAAATGCATCTAGGTAAAAGAAAAATGTTATTAATATTCTAGTACTATATATTTATATCTGTGTGTGTGACACATTAATTATTATCAAGAAATCTATTAGCAGAAGAACATACTTGCATCTTCCTAGCAACTCCTTCCAACTGGTTCTGTTCTAATCTCATCCTCTGGGCTATTCTTACTGGAGGAGTACCCCCTTCTGTCATAGTAGGCAAAGATGCTTGTGCAATGAGAGGGTTTCCAGAGACAAAGTGCATTTGTACAGCAGCTTGATCATTTTTTAAAGCCAGCAGTCCTTGCCACATCACTGGATACCTCTGAGATGGTGAAATAGATATTTAACTCAAAAAATTCAATGTTATGTTTTAAAAAAATCCATTTTACATATTTATTTTTAACTAAGTTAAATGGAAATTCACATGCTTTAAAAATTCAAAATAGCAATTTTTAGCATCAATACTTTTGTTCCAAAATAAGGAACACCAATACGTAAATGAAATCAAGAAAAATGGGAACTTCGAACATAAATGAAAAAAAAACAAATGAAAACCTTTAAAATGTAGAGTAATAGAGCATAATGTATTTTAAAAAATATATCCAAAATAAAATCCATTAAACTGAAGAAACAAGCAAAAAGTTAACTCAATATTAGCTTACAGCGATTAACATGCAATCTAGTTTTAGGGCATACAAATAGTTATGAGTCTCAAAGACTCAATAATGATAATTGAAAATGTACTTGTATTTAAAAAACAAACCATACCTGTAAAAGAAGGGAGTCTCCCTGTGGAGGCACTTGACTGTCATGAGGTGGTGTTTCTGGCTGTATCCGAGGCACCCCCGTAGGATGGGACATGGCATGTGCTGAAACAGGAGCTTCTGACCCTGTCTGTGGCATCAGGTGAATACTCGCCCGTCTCGAACTGACAATCTCTCCACCACCAGAAGATACTGATGGAGGCCGTGGAGATAAAACTGTACCTCTTGGGCTCAAAGCTGAGATTCCACTTGTTACTGATAGTGTAGATGGAGTAGTACTAAGGCTGAGAGATTTTGGGGAAACAGATGGTCCTTGTTGGGCATACTGTCTTAGAGAGACTGGAGTCTTATTTTGGGAGTCAGTATTAGGGTGAGAGACCAGATGTTTTCGCGAGTAAGAAACTACATCTCTTGTAAGTGATAGGGCACCAGCAGTGTATGCTCGGTCATGAACTGGCCGACCTTCAAGATGTCCAGAAGAAGGAGCTCCAATGGCAGAGACTGACTGCCCAGATATACCTCTGATTTTCAATGTATGGTAAGGAATTGTGGAGGGTGGGTTCTGGTGAGCAGCAGGTGGTTTAATTTCTTTCTCTGCCTCAGATTTGAGGGGCTGTATCAATCTAGAAGGAACTTCTGGTGGTATGAGCTCTTCTACTCTACATCCAGACAGGTGAGCTGGTGGATGCCTTAGTTGACCAGATACAGGAGAATCTGTGTTTCTTTCATGGTTTTGTATTGATATATGAGGACTTAGCTGATGGACTATTTGTTCATAGTGCCCAGATGGCTGAAGTCCAGGAATAGCTGATGCAATGATGTGCTGTTTAGTAATCTCTACTGTATTGTGAGGTCGATGTTTTTCCTGGTTCTCGTGAGCCTTTAGTTCTGTTATATCTTGTTTCAATTTAACTGTCTTATAGGGGAGCAACTTGTCATCTTTCCTCTGGTTTGCCTTGCTTTCAGGCTTGCTTTCTGACATGACAGCATGTACCATGAGAGGATCTACTGGTTGTCTAAATCCAGCTGGAACAGGAATTGGAGAGAAACCAAACTGTGGTGTCATGCCCATAGCAACAGCAGCTCTAGCCTGTGCCTCATGTTGTGCTCGTAATTCTGGAAGTAAAGCTACATAATGAGGATGGGAGGCAGCATACATGTGAATGTAGGCAGGAAGATCAGATGGATGTATATTCATATGGGGGTGAGGGGGAGCCATTATTAAAGGAGACTGGCTTGGGTGTCGAAGATGGAATCCTTGTGGTACATGTGCTGAATGGAGTTCTTGTGTTTGCAAAGAATGTGATGATGTTACTGGTGGAGTTGGGGTGTGAGGTGGGGTTGGATTACCCACACGTACAGCAATATCTGCATGCAAAGGTCCACCACAAGGACCAGGAGAGCGTCCAACTTGACTGCTCATCCTTTCTGAAACCTTACTACCTGGTGCACTAACAGAATGCTGAGCTGCTAAGTACTCTTTCCTTTGCTTTATAAGATGTGGGTTCTGCAAAAGTTCAGCAATTACTCCTCCACTAGAAGTGGATACCATCACTCCTGTACCGGGATGCTATAAAAGAGTATTATATAATCAGCCAAACTGTACTGTTGTGGAAAGAAACACACTACAAAAATATCAAATATTCCAAACATAATAAATTAGTAGTTATTATTCTTCAAACTATACTAGAAAAATAATCAAAGTTCACTAAAATTGCACAGAAATAAACACACCATCACAGCTTAAACATAGAGCAGTAGGGAAACAAAATAAAAAAAAAGTACTCAGATAAAATAAGGGTTTACACCATCTGGATATCTTACATTCATTCTTTTTACTGAAGCTTGCTCTTGACCCTCTTCAAGAGGCTTGATGGACAATGACAGAAGACATACATACTCTCAAAAACTAAAATAATAACAGTGAAGAAGTTTGGAATAATATGCACTTTAATGTTGAAACAATGCTACTGTGGCAATTGGAATATATAAAACTGAGAATGATTGAATGTGTGAATAAAAATTAATAATTAAGGTAAAAAAATTAAAATTATATTGACATGCAACAATATTCAAGGAAAACTTGATCTGTCAAATATCCAAAACACAATAATGGACTAGTTCAGGAACAGACAGTGTATTATCATAGCTACATAGCTACACTATGTCAGATGAGAATCTAATGAAACTTCAGCTCTTGGTTCAGAAAGGTATCATTTCAAAAATCCTACCTTTCAGTTACTCAAAACTTCTTGGCTTATAATAACAACAAAATCAAAATAATTAAATAATGTCATTCCAAATAATGTTTACATCTAAGTCCTTTACCCAAAACATATTGAAATTTTTTTATAAATAAAAAGCTTCTTTAATTTTAAATTTACAGTTAGTTGTAGTAGTACCATGGTGGAAGCAGCTTAGATTACAGGTTAAGAATAACAGGAAGACAAAGAAAGTCAATCAATAAAAACTAACCACTGATGTTTCATAACCCACTGGAAAGCCAGGTTGGTGGAAGTAATTGGGATTGTGTTTGGGAGGATAAGGATGCTCATTCTTTTCTGAACTTGTTGTTACAAATAACTCCCTGCTGCCTGGAGATGAAATGGGGAGTTGGCTCATTTCTTCTGTAACAGAAGTCTGTAGGAGTGGGGTGTTTGAAGTTGTTTCCTGAACAGTCCTTGATGTTACTACAGAAGTAGTTTGATTGAACTTAGGTGGTACAGTTCCATGACACGTTGACTCTTGTTTTACACCTACTAGAGGTTGGAGATGGGCAGTGCTGGTTGTTGTAATGCATGTATTATTTCTCACAAGTGGATCAGACTTCTCTCCAACAACTTCACTTTTTACACCTCCCTAAAAAATAGAATAATATATACATATAATCATTGATGAAAGCAACAAGTTTGCGTGTTTACTTGAAAGTAATTTCTCTCATGGCAGTACCATATTTTTTAACTATGCATATCTTTATATTTGGAGCCAAAAAATTCCTTAAACTTTTTACAAAATGTAAAGTATTAAAAGATTAAAATAGATGACAACAACGATAGACAGACATAAAAAAAAATTAATTTCTAAAAGAATACAAGTATAGCATATCTCTAGATCAATTTGCTTTAGTAAAATAAAGAACAAATAAAACATCGCTCACTTTCATCAGAATTTTTAAATCATCAAACTTGGAACACTTGATCAAATCCATATCATTGAAGAACAAGAAATAAACTTAGCTATGCTTCTGATAGGTAAATATTCTCTGTTTACTTTTTTTTCTTCTTCTTTTTAACCCTTTTTATCTCTGTTTCTTGGATGAGATGTGGCAACTGTTTGTACGCATGGAGTCCAAAGTTTATTATGAAACTATTTAACATTTTACTAAAGACACTTTCATCCCACACAAGAAAACTGAAATAATTAGTTACAAATATAGGTGAATCATCATTATAAAAATAACTTATTAATCCATACATTAAAACAGACTTCACCTATACTTTCACACAGTCTTCATGATACTGGATTGAAGAATAAGTTAAAGTGACTTCTGTCTCATAATCGGGCACTTCACAAATATATCAAGTTTTAAATAAAAATCCAAACAATGTAATAAGCAAGAAATTATATCTACTTGAATTTAACTTCCATCAAAAAATTATTTACTCATGCAGTGTTTGGTAAATTAGCCAAAATCAATCAAACCAAATGAAAAATTACATATAACTGTGGTAGTCAAGTCCACAGTCATCCAAAAGAAAAGCCAAAAGTTTGTACAATATGCAGTTTCAGGATTGACAGTGAAGAATAAACTGAACATTGACAAGAAGACAGGCTAACACAAATGAAGTTTGAAACACAAAAATTCTATATTTAACAAACACAGTATCAGGTTACCAAACATTGGCCGGGCTTCTTGTTCGGTATCATCAGGCTACTGGGGTAGGAAAAATCATGAGACAGTACTATGGAAAACCCAAACAAACATAGAAAAAAAAAGAGACAGGTATTGCACAAGTCAACACATTACATAATTATTAACCAATGGTCCAAATTCAATTCTGAGCTACCACAAATCAGCTTGTACACTTTTCTCTATTGTCTGTTAGAATAGACAGTCTTTCAAAAAGTCCGTCGAAAAACACATACATGTTAGGTTGAGACTTAAGAAGAAATGTTACAGTATGTAGCTTTACCTGTATAAAAGGATTAGTACATGTTTATGACCTCGAAACATCAGCCCAACCAGAAATTTAGAAAAATATATCTTTATTAAGGTATTATCTTCACTAATTATGGAAGGGTAGAAATTCATGTGTCTTTCAGTTTTTGCACAACCTACCTTCTATGATTATTTAACAACTAGAAATAGTCTTTATTAGAGAAATGTACAGACTGAAATACAGTTTAAATATTTTGAATTTTAAGAAAATATACAATTAACTTGTATATCTTATAAATTTGCAATGTCTATCAACACACTATCAGAATATTTTGGACATTTTCCCTACACTGAAACCAGTATATTATCAGTATAGTTTGTTTACATGCTAAATGAAGAAGAAGAAGAAAAAATATATATAAGCTTTATTTAGTAAGGCCAACAAATTTATGCTTTTAACTATGGTTCATTTATTTTAAATGACCAATTAAAAATGTAGTTTACATGACATTAGACAATTTGTTATAACTTCATTTTAATATTAACCATTGTATAGTGCTATATACAACTGTGAGTTTCACAGAGGTTAAATCCTTTCCGTGCCTTACAGGCACACAAGAGACCATGTTTAACATCAGTTTTCTCCAGCACAAGTTGACAGAAGGTGAAAGTTTTTTTACAAGTGGTATAAAAAATAACCCACTTAGTGTTACACTTCAGTCAAAAAGAAGTTAACTTAAAAAGTAGTAGTCATGTACTTACCTCAACTTTGGATGATAGCACAGTGTGGTTGTTATGACTATCTCTGATGGGGTTATCTCCATGGTGATGTCCTGTTGTTGCTTTAGTTTTGACTACAGATTGATGGCTAATTAGAGATGCTTGAGAACTGTGCACAGTTGCTGTTGTTGATGACTTGGATGTTCTATGACTTTGAGATGAGGCTACATGTATGGGAGATGTATATGAGGAAGAAAGAGTGTTTGGCAAACCAGGCATCGGCTGAGCTATTTGAACAAGTGGTTGTCCCATAGCGAGGTCTTTTGCTGCCAAAATTGTAGGGGAGAGCATATCACCATGCTGAGAAGACACAACTGTTGTAGTAGTAACTGAACCTGTAATTGTAATGTGAGGCTGAACCAATATAGGTGTGGTTTCCAGCACTGCTGAGGAAACAAGTGTGGTATGTTTTGTAGTCATACTTTCACCCGATGCAAACTCTGATGCCTGTGGTATACTTGCTGTAGTGGACACTGGAGTTTTTGCAGTTGCTTCTTGAGTTTGCTGGACAATGACTGGTGTTAGGGTTGAAGATAAAAACTTTTCTGGCTTCAGGCATTTTGGTTCTATCACACTAGAGAGTGGAACTGGTGGATGGGGCTTTGTATGTCCAGGTGTACATTTGATGAGGTGTGTGTGTTCTAAAGAACTGACTAATCGTGCTGTTGTGCTACTAGTAGTTAAATGTGAATCAATGTTGGTCACACTCAAACCTAAAGGTTTACTTATGGATCTATCGTACATGTCAGGAGTCTCCCTAATGACACCAGTGGGCTCTCCTTTCTTGTTGACCGGTGTGAGAAACCCAGTGACTGGATCAATGAGAACTGTTGGACTTGACCGAGAATCAGTCTCATCTTCTTTTCCGGAAAGTGAAGAAGTGCTTTCTTTTTTTTTCTCTAATATTTTACCATGTTTCACAGATGTAACAACCTGAGGAAGTTCAACCTTTAAGACAGGAAGTGCAGTTAAAGAACTTTCATTTTCACAGGAAACATCTGAAGAAAATAATGCCTCATTATCTGACTGATTAACAGTTTGTTCTACTAAATTTTCAGATAAACTTTGAGGTGACACACTTGTTTCATGACTAGACTCAATCTTGGATGCTGACCTTGTGATGCGATAGGATCGGAGAAGCATTCTGGTTTCTGGTTTGGATGTTTCAAATTCAGAGCTACTGCCTGAGAAATCTATCGGGTTTGAGACGACACTCTGTGAAACAGGTGTCTTTAGTGATTCTGTTGGCTGGTCTTTCACAAAGTTATCAGAAATGATAAACACTGGTTCAGATTTAACTGTAGAATACTCCTCTTGTGTCTCTTCTTGTCTTGGAAGAGCTTCCCCACTACGATGACAACCATGAGTTCTACGAGTTAATCTTTGACTGACACCTGTGATTTCTGTAGTTTCTTCAAATAATTCTGCACCTTCAAAATGACCTTTAATCACATCCTCAATTACCTCATCCACAGATGTTTTGGAACTTTGTGACTGAAGCTGAATTGCTTTTCTGGTGGATTTACATGGACCAGTGAGAAATGCATCTAAAGTTGGTGATGGTAACACTTCATCTTTGGGTTTTCCAAAGTTAGGACGAGACTTTGATTCCTCAACACATACAGTTTGAGAAGTCTTGACAACCTCAGCAGTACCAGAAGAGCTTCCATCGTGTCCTTCTTTTTGATGCAAACGAATGGTAATGGCAATTTTACCATGTTGGGCAAGCTCAGTTACATACTCTTTACCACTCATATCTTTCTCTTCAATAACGGATGCCTTTTGTTTGATATCATCAGATTTCTTTTCTTTCTCATTTTCATGGTATTTGTGTTCTTGCATCCTTTCTTTGAAACTACACTGAATATCTTTTTCAAATGTTATTTCTTCATCTTCTGAATCCCTGAATTCAAACACGTCATAGGCATTGCTATCTGCCCTTTGTGACTTCTGATCTGATGGTTTTTCTGAAGTTGAAAGAGACAAAAGGAGTCTTGGTTCTTTGGGTTTACTATCTTTGTTTTCTAACTCCCCATTTTTTGTATCAAGTTTTTCTGAGTTAAAGGAAGAAATATGAGGCGGTGAGGCAAGCAGAGGAGGTTGATGATCTGTAGAACCCTTTTTTTTTCGTCCCTTTCTTTTCTTAGGTTCATCATGTTTAGCAATTTCACCCAATGCTTCCATATGAATAATTTCTGGTTGCCTTTTTATGATTTCATGACTCTTTTCTTGAGTAGCAGAATCAGAGCTGTGTCCTTCCAAGTAGCTTGTTTTTGGGTTGGTAGTACACTGAATATTTTTGTTACTGACTTCAGAATTAACCACCAAACCTTCATTCTCACTGATTGAAATTCTGTTTACATCTTGATGAGATGACTTAGACTGTGGATCATTTATAGAATCTTCAGTATTGGCTAAAGGTTGAACTGGTTCATTAACAGATACCAATGGTTCTTTGGAGTCTGAGCATATAGTTCTTATATTCTTATCAACAGATGACAGTTGTTCACGACGTCCCACTGATCTGGTTGTAATAGCAGGTGACACTTGCTCAGTTTCTTCGGTTTCATATTTTGGTAAAAATAACGAAGATTCTGAATATTTTCTTGTCTTAAGCCTTCTACCTCTTTTTGGTCTTTCCAATGGTCTCTTGTGCTTTGGATCTACTGTACTACTCAGACATTCCTCAAGATGAATTTCATTGTCATCTTCTTCAGTTGTAATCTCTTGTCTTTCAGTTAATATGTGGTTTGTCTGATGTTCAGCTCCTTGACTCTTGTGCTCAGTATCTCTGGATTGTAAATAGTTTATCTCCAAATCTGTATCCACAGGAACCTTTGAACTAGAGAATAAATCATTTTCACATGCAATTTTACTCTCAGTTAAAGATAACACTGGTTTTATCACTATGTTTTTGTCTTTCGACTCTATGCAACCCTGTTGCAAAGCATTAGTTTCTTTCTCTGTAGACTTTACATACTCATGTTCTTTAGTGTCATCTTTGCTATCAGCATAAGCATGTCCTTCTTTACGGCCATTATCTTCTAATTCGATTTTTAGGACATCAGCCTGCTGAGACTCTAGACTGATAGTTTCTTGCACTTCAGCTTGATCTGACTTTAGCAAAACTTTTCTATTTGTGGATTTTTCCAACAATTTATCTAGCTCATCTATCTTATTAATGGTGCAGGATGGGATATAATTATATTCCTTATATGATTGAAATATTTCTACATCTTTGAATAAGTCTAACTGAGAACATGTAATTTTTTGCTTCTCTTTATCCACTATTTCAACAGAAGACTGAGAAGTTTCTTCAGTGGCAGTTTTGTACACTTGTTTAATTTGTGTTTTCTCCTTTTTCTTTCTACGTCGTGTTGTTTTAAGTTCAGTTTCTGAAGCATTTTCTGCTTCTGAAAATAAAGATGACTTGTGAGTATCCACATTAAGTAATTCAAACGATTGCCATGGTCCTGGATGCGTATGTTCTTGATTAGAAATACTGGATGTTCCTATAAATTCAGACTTATCAGAGTCTTGAACATGTGACTTTGTTTCTTTAGCTTGTGGAAAAGATGGTTGAAGATCGATTTTAGAGTCTCTGCTATCTAATTCTGGATGCATGGATTCTTGATTAGAAATTCTGGATGTTTCTATAACTTTAGACTTACAAGGGTCTCGAATGCGTGACTTTATTTCGTTAGCTTGTGGAATAGATGACAGTAGATTGATTTCAGTCTCTCTGTTATTTGATTCTGGATGCTTAGATTCTTGATTAGAAATTCTGGATGTTTCTACAACTTCAGACATATCAGTATCTTCAACTTGTGGCTTTGTTTCTTTAACTTGTGGAATAGATGATTGTAGGTTGATTTCAGAGTCTCTGCTATTTGATTCTGAATGAACAGGTTCTTGATTAGAAATTTTGGATATTTCTAAAACTTCAGGAGTATCAGTATCTTCAACTTGTGGCTTTGTTTCTTTAATTTGTGAAATAAATGACTTTAAATTGACTCCAGCATCTCTGTTGCTTGATTCTGGATCAACAGGCTCTTGATTTGAAATTTTTGATGTTTCTATAACTTCAAACTTATCAGTATCTTCAACTTGTGGCTTTGTTTCTTTAATTTGTGGAATACATGACTTCAAGTTGATTACAGAGCCTCTGTTGCTTGATTCTGGATCAACAGGCTCTTGATTTGAAATTTTTGATGTTTCTATAATTTCAAACTTATCAGTATCTTTAACTTGTGGCTTTGTTTCTTTAATTTGTGGAACAGATGACTTCAAGTTGATTACAGAGCCTCTGTTGCTTGATTCTGGATCAACAGGCTCTTGATTTGAAATTTTTGATGTTTCTATAACTTCAAACTTATCAGTGTCTTCAGCATGCGACTTTGTTTCTTTAATTTGTGGAATAGATGACTGTAGGTTGACTTCAGAGTCTCTGTTACTTGATTCTGGATGTATATGTTCTTGATTTGAAATGTTTAATGTTTCTGTAACTTTAACATGTAGCTTTGTTTCTTTAGCATGTGGAATAGATGACTGTAGGTTGACTTCAGAGTCTCTGTTACTTGATTCTGGATGCATATGTTCTTGATTTGAAATGTTTAATGTTTCTGTAACTTTAACATGTAGCTTTGTTTCTTTAACATGTGGAATAGATGACTGTAAGTTGACTTCAGAGTCTCTGTTACTTGATTCTGGAGGCACAGGTTCTTCATTACAAGTTTTCAATGTTTCTATAACTTTAAATTTATCAGTGTCTTCAAAATGTGATTTTGTTTCTTGAACTTGTGGAATAGATGACTGCAGGTTGATCTTAGAGTCTCTGTTATTCGATTCATAATTTTGAAAGGAGTATTCAAAATTTACACATAAAGATTCAGCAGACACTTCAGGAACTTTTATACTAACTAATTCAGAGCTGCTTTCTGCTAAGAGAGAATTCTCATTCAATAAAAGCTCATCATCATTATTTTCTGTTTGAGCGTTATTACATTCTATAACTAACTTGTTTTTCTCAGTGCTTTCGTTTTCTGGTGTAATTTTAGGTTTTGGTTTAATTTTCCCCTCAATGTCTATTATTGAAGGCTTTTCCTCACAAATTTTGTTAGTGATGCACAAATCTGAATCATTTAAGGATGCCAGTTCTTGTAAAACAGGAGTAATTTGTCGTGCAAAAAGATGAGAGTCATTATCATCCTTTGTTTCTGGGTTTTTTAATTTGGGTTCTGAATTTGGAACAGGCACACTTGAACTGGAGTTTTGGAAAAGGTAACCGAAGGTATGTTCTTCAGGGTGAGGCTGAAGGAGAGAGTCTAAGAAATCCGTTTCCTTCTGATGTTCGGGAGCTGGAAGCTCATCTTCATTCATAGCTTGCAAGAGAGCAGAAACTGCAAGGTCATCTTCTATTTTTTGTTGCTTGTCCAGTTCCTCTGAAACACCAATCTTTACAAGTTTGAAATCAGCCTGTTCTTGACATTGCAAAAGAAAAGATGAAGTTTCTGGATATCTCGAGGAAGAAGGATTAATTTCTATATCAGTATAAAAATCTTGATCTTTTAGAGTTTTAGCATTAGATACTTTAGAACCACTGACAGAATTATCACCCATGCTTTCAGGATGAAGACATTCATCTGAAAATGGTTTATTAACTTTCATGTGCCATGACTCAGAGAACAGTTCTTGTTCTAATCTCTGGGTTTCTTTGGCAGCTTCTTCTTCAAATTTTCGTTCTTCATGTTTATCATCTTGCCTATAATGCCCATCACTTTCTCCAAAACAGTATGTTTCCTCTGAGTCAGTAGGTGAATCTGCAAGCAATACTTTTTCTAATTTTCTAGCTTCCTCTACAATTTCCTCATCTATTTTCACATCTTCTGATAACCTACTGTCTTCATCTAATAACTGTAAGTTTTCTACTTGGGATAATTTTTTTTTATCAGTTATAGTTGTTTGTGCTCGATTGCAGTCTTGTTCTTTACATGCATCCTTATTTAGTTTCTTTTTCCTCTCTTTAGTCTGCTTCTTATTTTTTTTCTTGTGTTTTTCATCTTTTGATGAAGCATGTCTTTCTTCACCAGATGTCTTTGTTTTGGAATGTTTTTTCTTTTTCACACTACCTTCATTTGTGTTTGATGTAATGGAAACATCCAACTCAGCTACAGCCTTGTCTTTGAAAGATTTATTTGTTTGGACTACAACTTTTGAGCTTCCTTCAGCAATTTTGTATTCATTTCCAATCTCTCTGTGCTCAAAATCAACATTTTCAAGCAGAGGAGGTGGTCCAAGGTCTTCTTCCTCGAGTGTTTTATCTTTCAAATCCAGTGTTATTGAAGAACAGTTATTTTTATCTCTAGAGATATTTTTGGTTCCTTTTTCATTTGATTTCAAATTGTTTTGTTCTATCAAAATATTAGGTAATTGACCCTGAGTATTATAATCTGATTTGATTTCACCGTCTGAAAAGATTCGTGGTCTTAATCGAGGTGGAAGCTCTGCACATTCATTTAGGGTATCTCCATTTTTTTCTACACCATCAGGTTTGGAAAAAGTGAAAATACTTTCTTTCAGATTATCATCTAAATTTTTAGTTTCCTCCCAAGCTTCTTTTACTAAACTGACTTTCTTCTCTTTAGCTTTAAATGATTTTCGAGACTTCTTCTTCTTTTTTGATGAAATCTTCTGTTTGGTGTCTAGACCATCATTTGCAAGTTTACTGATATTCTTAGAATTACTCTCTTCTTTCTTTACTACTTTTGGATCCAACTTTCGTTCCACATCAGTAAAAGATGGAGGTTCTTTTTCACAAATACCTTCATTTTTAGGCTTTCCTTTATTTTTTTCTGTGTGCTTTTGAGCAGGAAATCCTGTAAAAGTGTCCGAAAAATCTGAATCAGATTTTATCTCATGACACTGTTTCTTACTTTTTTCTTTTGTATTAACCTTTTGTAGAAAATGAGATATATCACTAATAGAGAAGTCTGAATCAGAATGCAAATCTGGTTCTTTTGTATTACTTTTTGTTTTATTTTTCTCTTTGGAATCAGTAAAGAATACCTCTTTGTCCGAGTTTTCCAAGTCAAGTTTTGATTCTTTAAACGTACTTACAACTTCTTTGTATTTTGTTCTTTCTTTTGCCATAAAATATGAAAATGGACTGTCTGAAAATTCTGACTCTGACTTAATTTCAGTAATTTTATCCTTTTTATTTTTTTTCTTTTTGCAATCTCTGTTTTTAGACTTTGGCTTCATTATCCTATCATCATCTGAAGTTTCGAATTCAGATTTAGCAATTTTAGATTTTAAAGACTTTGTAAGAGTTTGTTTTGATTTAAGTTTGTTTTTTTTATCTTTCATAAAGGAATGACTTAGGGATTGTTCATTTTGGAAACTTGATGTTTCTATATTGGAAATGTCTTTCTTTATCTTCTTTCTCTTTAATGCCATAGAAACTGGTGTAATTTTTGAAGAGCTAATATCTTTATACATTCCTTCATCTGAATCTGAAAACAGATCACTACTATTTCCTGCAAATTTTGTATCTCTGCTGGTTTCAAAATGAAATGCACTCTGAGAATAAGCATCATCAGAGGAGGTTTCAATAAAAAGTTTTCTTTTCTTACTTTGCTTTCCTTTTCTAGATACCTTGGATTTAATTTCTAGATCAGAAGAAATTACACTATGACCATCAGAGTCACTGTCCATATCTACAGACTTAATTTTATCATCTTTTTTAGCACGACTCCTCTTCAGCTGACCAAATTTTTTCTTCAATGTATCTGAAACTGCTTGATCTTTCAAACTCTGATTCTGACTGGAACGAGCTTTAACTTTGTCATACATAGAAAAATAAATAGGTGCTTCTTCTGTCTGAGCCTTTAATTTTTCTGATTTAGAACCCGATTGCTTTTTTTCACGACTGGATGACTTTCTGTTTGCTTTTGTTTTAATTTTATCAACATGCTCTCTTTTTTTATTGGTGTCTACTACTTCAAAGTTTATGCCATGACTTCTTTCAGAACCTTTAACATCAGAGTTCGCTCTAACCTTGCCTCCAGATTTTGAAATTTCTCTGCTGCCCTTCATCTTGTGTTTTTGATCATCTTTCACTCTCCCAGTATCATATTTTCTTTTAAGTTCCTCTTTCTCAGGAGCAGATGTTTGAGGTTCTACTTTAGGAGATGATGATTTGTTTTTTTCTAGAGATTTAGAGCTATTTGTTCTTTTTTTCTATTTTGCATGACATAGTATATGGTGAGGAAGATTTATCATAACTTTTATCAATGTCTTTAGTACAAGATATATGTTGAATTTTTGGTCTCTTTGGTTCAGGTTCGCTGACTTTGTCTTTTGTTTCAGATTGATGATCTTGTGTCTCGTTACACTCAGCTTTGGTCTCTGAAATGAATTTAAAAAACTGTTTTGAATCTGATTTCCAAGAAGAGATTTTCTTGATATTTCCACCTATTTGTTCTGTTTGGCTTATTTCATTATCAAAACTATTTTGCACTGGTTCCTTTTTTACATTTTCAGTGATACTACACAAATCTTTTTGATTAAAATGATGCTCCTTTTGTTTTGATGGTAGATATTCTTTATTAAAAGTTTGGGCTTCTTTTGATGGAGAAGATTCTTTCTTGATATCTTCCTTCAGTATATTATAGTCACTGTTCTTACATCCTAACATGATGTCTTGCTTTGATGGAATATCGTTTACTGAACTTTCATTATTTTCAAATGTAAAATTCCTTAGTTCTGTTGGTTCATTTTTAATACAGTTCAGAAGAAAGTCTCTTTGTGTGACAACTGCTGTTACAGAAGTGATGTGATTCACTACATGTGATAGTGGGCTTTCTCTACTTGTTGATATGCTGGAGCAAGCAGGAGGACTGAGTGATTGCTCTTTCTTTATAGTTAGGTTGCTAGTGGGGTCTGAAGTGTTTTCCTGGAAAACTGAAGCAGTGGAGCAGTCTTTACTAAATTTAGTTTGTGGCAGTTCATTTTCAGAAACATTTGTGAGAACTGATGGTAGGGTTGTCTTGGCTGACTCTGGTGTTAACTGTGAAAAAGGCATGAAATGACACGAAGATGGTTGGGTTTCACGATTAAATACTACAATGTGACTAACTGATGTGGTTGTAGTTGTTGCTGTACTACTCACAGTGGGTGGTGTTAGAGAAGGTGAAAGTGTATTGGTGGTGACAACACTGCTAGTTACAGGTAGCTTATTCACACCCAGGGAACTTTGTCCAATTGCATTGGAAAGATTGTTTAATGGCTGGATTGGACTTGAGAATTCTTTTGCTGCAGCTTTTGTTCTAAAGAAAGGCTTTATTTTTGGAGAGTCGTCAAATTTTATTTCTTTTGGTTCATATTTTTCATTGATGTGCTCCAGTCGTTTTGAATCCTGGTCAAAAATACTGGACTTTGCAAGAAGAGTCTTCATTATTTCTGATGGTTTAGGGGCCATGTAATCAAACTTGGGTCTCTTTTTAATGTTATACTTTTGATAGTCTATAACTGGTGTTACAGAAGTTTCTGCTGGTGTTTCAGTGTTGGTAGTTGAAGCTGACCATGCTGTGAACTTCTCATCGAGGGCTTTAATTCGTTTTTCAAGGCAGCTTGGAGAAGAGATAGGAGAACACTCAGAGTCTGAAATATTCTCTGTACTTTTTTCGATCTTGAGATGCAAAATAGGTGTCACAGTTTCCACAATACAACTATCTGTACTACTTACAGCTGGTCTAGGAATGGTAAGAATGGTATTTATTCCCTCAATCTTTAACCTGTCCTCATTTTCTCGTACAGGATCTGGACTATCAAGATGCTCTGGCTTGGCTGTATCTCGAAGAATACGAGGAGTAAAAACTTTACATCCTAATGCTGATGATGGAGACTGCCCACTTTTGGGACTACATACTGGGGCTTTTGGGGAAGTTAATGAATTTGGTGATGTTTTAGGGGATCGTAAGGAAGCAGCAAACTTGGGCAAAGGAAGTGACAATGGGATCATTTCTTTCTTAGTTTCATGTGCCGAAAGAGTTGTGTTATCAGACACTGACTGCAGTCTAGATGAAAACGTTTTGATTAAGTCAATCATCCCTGATGATGAATGGCAAACTGTGGTGCTGTCACTAGAAGATGAAACTTCATCTTCCTTTAGTTTTGACTGATACTTGAAAGGAGTGCTGGTTGAAGAGTCAACAGTAGAACCAACCTCTCCTTCAACAGCAGCAAAATTTGTAGTAAGTAGTTCATGACATTTCTTAGTGGCCATGTCTAAAGAATGATCCACATGATGCAATGATGGTCTTCTAAGACTATGAAGAGCATTAAGAGAAGAGGTAGATGAAACACTGTGATGCTCAACACACCTACGAGGATCTACAGGTCGTTGTGAAGCTACCAACTTAGTAGCTTCGGATGCCCCATTACTCTCATTGACTTTTGTATGACTTATCTCTGGTGTTGTACACAAAACTGACTTGTCATCATTGCCACCACCTTTCTGCACTAATGCAACACTTAGGGAGTCTTTGGTACTTATTTTGGTGTATTCCATAGTACCCGAGACATTTGCTTCCATGTTGGTTTGCGACTTCCTTATTTTGGATTGTTGTCCATTGGCTGTGGAACAATCAATGTCACTGGACCTTTCTTTATCTTGGAGTTGTTCCAGAAGCTGCAATATATTCACATGTTCTTGCTGTAAGTCTTTCAGATTTGTAATCTCAGAATTACAATGTTTTTCTATGTTGCTTACATTTGCAGGTATGCTAACAGATTCTAAACATTCAACTGAATCACTTCTTTCATTACACGAAGCAACTGCTTCTGGTGTTTTACACCTTGTGGAAGAATTAGTATTTTTTATACTTACTACTTTACTTTCAGCATCTTCTTTAGACTGAATTTTAGAAGAAGACACATCTCTACTCAAAGGTAGATGGCTCACACTAAGTAGTTTATGCTTTCTTTCTGTCTGGCCTATGAGATCATTTACAGAGTTTTCTTCCACACATTCATTGTGTACTCTTTTTTTATGATGTCCAGTTTCAGTCTTGAAACTATCCACAGAGTCATAAGAGGCTGCTGTGGTTGATGTTAGTAGTGAGGAGGATGTCACAAAAGAGTCTTTGAGATCATTTTTGTTTTTGTCCATTTTGTTGTTTCTTTTCTCACTAGAGGTTTCTTTATTAACAGAATTCACCACTTCCTCATTAAAAAAATCATCTCGACTGGGACTATTCAGAGTGTCACTGCTAAGACCCTTTAAATGGTTATTTAACTTTTCCCATGTTTTTGAACATTTCCTTTCTTTGGGAGGAGGACTTCTACTACTACTGTGATGTATGGAATGTGTAGGAGACTGACTCTGTTGGTTCTCCAAATCACTGGTATTGTTCCACTGCTTACTTCTTTTTCGTTCAAATTTAACATCAGCTTCCAATGGCTTGTTACAATCTTTTTCATCATTATTTACTCCATCTTCTGAACCTTCCTCTCTTCCACCATATCTAAATAAATAAATAAATATATATATATATATATATAATACTTGTGTGCTAAATTAATTCAAACAGATCTAATATTTGAAATTCTTAGTTTTTTTGCAAGTAGTAAAACGTTTTAATTTTGAAATATAAAAAAAAGGTTTAAATAATTTAAAATACTAATCACCTGTACATTTATGCAATTTGGTTTACTAACTGTACTTTCGGTATGATTTTAGGAATATGCTCCATTATTGTTTGCTTTGAAAATGCACTCGTAAATGGAGCACTAATGAAATTTAAAATTTTACATTTCTAGAATTACAATTAATTTCAAACAGTTACTTTTTCTTGTTCAGTTGCATTTTTACTGTCAACAAATTCTGAATGCATTTGACAGAATGCAAAATGTTTCAAGTTACCAAGAATTCATCACTATTCCACTTTTCATATGACTTGTCTGGCAAGCATCAGGTAGATGCACATAAGACCTATCATAAGCTAGATTTTTTTTTCAGTTGTGATGATATATCATATTCTTTCAAATGTAAGTACCTATAAGAAATTCATTAGTAAAATAGAAAACTCAAATCAGGTAGACTTATCTCTAAAATACTAAAAGCCAGAATATGCACACTGTAATGGAGGAGGGAAGTGAAGTGTCATAGGAAACACTGGTTCCTCAAAAGTAAGGCTCTTAAGCAGAAAGGTAGCAAGGTAGACCACAACAAATGTATTAAGTGGTCAAGCAATGTGTGATCAAAATCAAGAACCAGTGTAAAAGTCAATGGATTGGACTTATGAGAGAATCGAGTAGAGTTATACCAGCCTCATAAGAGACTAGACCAATATAAGTATCTCAGAAAGAAAGACATTCTTCTGAAAAGGGGATCTCATCACCATAGGCACCCTTTAAATGATATACAAATTGTGGAGTTGTCACTTTCTTAGATGTGGTTGCATAATGGGTAAGGAGGGTTAGAACAAGGATCCTAAAGAAGAACTAAAGATCCAAGGCAACTCACCAACAGTCCAGATGGGATATTTGTCCAGAACAGAAGAGAGCCATGGGATGAGTCAAGATAGCCCCACTTACTTAAGCCCACATCTGATCACTCAGTAGGGTACAAATGAAGAAGTAGATGATGATGAACTATAAGTAAGTTGAAATGTTAAAACACTATTCAGCTCCTGATGGCATACTTTTCCTGAATGATGGACTAGGATGGATGAACATTTTATTTATTTGGGTAGGGGAGACAAGTATCTTTAAGGAAAGCTAAGGTGTCTAAAAAATATAACAGCCATGTGGTAAAAGAATTTAAGTCCGTGGGAAATGCAGCAAAGGAAAACTGCAAAATAAAAATTTGATCCAGACTAAAAGACCCATGAGAATGAGAGCAGTTGACACTTAATTATTACTCTGAAAAAAAAAAGAAAAAACTCTCCAAATCGACAAATTCAGAGTGTGTAAGGTAGAAAACTAACAATGGGTAAAGTAGAAGACTTTATATCTGAGGATTAAAAACTTGAGACACAAAATGAATGAAAAAATACAACCCTATATAAAGGTTGATATCATTTAGCTACTTTTTAAATGCATCAGAAATGAACCGCAATTCAGGAGAAAGTGAGAAATATAAAGATTCCAGAACTGAATCATCAAACGTGACATTAGCACCCTAAGTTAACAGAATCAGTTTAAGATTTAAAATAGAACATACCCAAGAGAGAGGAAAATTAGACCAAAGAAACTTCTTTGGAATTAAGGCTAGCTGACAAATTTTGCTCTTCACACAATGAATGAAAATAGGCATTTAAAAAAGATAATTGTTTACCATTATCATCAGGAGAATAGAGCAGCTGTTTCAAAACTGAATGTTCACATGAACGTGAAATGTACCAGGGACACCAGTAGACACAAAATGGAAAGAACAGCATGAATACACTGATGATCAAAAAGGGCCACCACCCATAAACTCCCTCCATTTTAAGTTCTTCCAAAGAAGTTATGAAATGTCTTGCACACGTAATAAGTCACATGGAAATTGGATACTGGGTAAGTTGATTTCTCATTTTGTCAAGAATATTCATAATATGAAATTAACTGATTGTTGAAATGCAATACAACAATAAAAGGTTTTTACTATTGTAGAGATAAAACTACCTGATTTGAAAGCAGAGGTACTTGTTCATACTAGCATTAGGTATTTGAATGTTTGAAAACCAATTATGCTAGATATTACAGGTGATGAAGTATGTCTAAAGTTACTAATCTTATAAATTCTATGCTGTTATTTTTTATACAATAAAAAAACAAATAAACATAGGCATACAAAAAACACAGAAATTCAAAAGAAGAAACACACTTGGAAAGGTGGCCATCTGCTGTCCTCGAACTTCCCCTGGTTGATGATCGTTCACTTCTAGCCAAGGGACTGGTACTCCGATCATCCCTGTTTCTCTCTCTTGATGGACTAATACTGTTAGTATCTTGTCTTCGTAAAGGACTATAGCTTCTCTCTCTAACGTTGCAGCGCTCATCACTTCCAAACTCTCTCCGTTCTCGCTGACTGTAACCATACTCTCTGAGTTCTTGTTCATATGAATCTTCCAAACTACCTTGATTATAATCCTCTGTGAAGTTCCTATAATTGAAATAGTGAGAATAAAAATGTAATTAATAATAATTAATAAAATGACCAAGTCCCTGAGCCATATTAAAAATGCTTATTTTCTTCTTTATGCTGGGAGACTAATGGATGAAGAAACAGATCTTATGGTAAGGTTGACAGTGTAAATAAATGCAGATGAAACAGAAAAAAAATTGAAATTTGCCAAAAAAATACTGGTGTATTTTAAAATGTAAATGAATACTAAGATTAAGTAGTGTATCAGAATGATAAAACAATAAACTGACATCCATTAGACCAATAATTCTAAATGAATATTTCAGCTTCTTTTTCTGTCCATTCATACATTTAATGCTTTATATGAGCTTGTTTTAATTTTGTTTCCAGAATTTAACCACACTACAGGTTCATAACCATATTTCACATACTGCTTTTTAAAACACAATCTACTCACCAATGCCTCCTCTCCAAAACATCATCATGGTAGGTCTCATACCTCCCACTGAATGGCTGGCCTCGACTACGACTGTTATAACCCCCACGGGGCATAGCTCTGATATTTTCCCTACCAGAACGTTGTTGACCATCATAGTGACCATAAGGTCTACTAACATATCCTATTCTTCCACCCCTGTACATAAAAATTCAATTACTGCTGTCATTCTTTCATGAAAAAAAAAAAATCAAAAGCTTGTTACTAAAAATATTCAAACTTCATACTGCTAGTTGTATCATTTTTTTTAAATCACCCATTTCTCAGACAATACTCATGCTAGTTTCAAGCCAGAAACAAATTTATTTAGAGTATGCAAAATAAATTGAGAAAATATTAAAATACTGTTTTTTAACAACAAAAAACTGAATAGGGTAGCTTAAACTGAGAAAAATAATATCACAATTTTTAACAAGTCAAATCAACCAGTGATTAATTTATCACTGACTCCACTGAATTACACCAGCACAAGAGATAAGTTTCAAATTCACTCAGTTAAGCTCCACCAACACACGAGTAACTTTATACTGGCCTTCCTTAGGCTATATAACCATAATAATAATAATAAATAACAACTGGTAGAATTTGGGGCCAGTGCAAAGCACAACCATTCAGATAGCCTTCAAAATTCACAAAAGAAGAACAATTAAATAAAAATCTGTAATAAGTTATAAGAAGAAACTACCAATCTAACACAAACTGAAATAAACTTAAATAAATGCATCAACACAATCAGTAAAGTGTTACACCAAGAAACTGCCAATTTTCAATACTTCCACAGACTGAAATAAACAAACAATGCAACACAATCAGTAAAGTATCACATCAAGAAACTGCCAATTTTAAATACTTCAACGGACTGAAATAAACAAACAATGCAACACAAGCAGTAAAGTGTCACGTCAAGAAACTGCCAATTTTTAATACACCCATGAACTGAAATAAACAAACAATGCACTACAAGCAGTAAAGTGTCACATCAAGAAACTATCAATTTTAAATACTTCAACGGACTGAAATAAACAGACAATGCAACACAAGCAGTAAAGTGTCATGTCAAGAAACTGCCAATTGTAAATACTTCCACGGACTGAAATAAACAAACAATGCACCACAAGCAGTAAAGTGTCGACATCAAGAAACTGCCAATTTTAAATACTTCCATGGACTGAAATAAACAAACAATACAACACAAGCAATAAAGTGTCACATCAAGCGGACCACCATTAGAAAAATATAACTTGTCTTGCATCAACACTATCAATTCCCTTTACAGTATTGAATACCTCAATCAGATCCCTTCTAACTCTTCTTTTTTTCAAGAGAAAACAATTTCAGAGATCTTAACTTCTCCTCGTATGACATCCCCTCCATCCCAGGTATCATCCTAGTAAGCCCATCTCTGAACCCTTTCCAACAATTCAATGCCCTTATTAAAGTAAGGAGCCCAAGACTGAACACGATACTCCAAATGTGGCCTAACTAGTGTCCATACAATGAAATTATAACCTCTTTAGACTTGTATTCAATATTTCTGTAGATACAACCTAAAATCCTATTTGCCCTACCACTAGCAACAGCACACTGTTTGGATGGATTTAAGAGACTGATCTACCACTACATGAAAATCCATTTCCTTCATAACACTAATACAAATTATACTTATAATTCAAATTATGATAACCCACATGCATTGTTTTACATTTATTATAATTAAAACCCATCTGCCATTTATTCATCCAACTCACTAAATGATCTGAACCCTTTTGTACAGCAGCATCCTTCTTCTCACAGCCAGCAACACCCAGGACCTTAATATCATCAGGTAAATTTAAGTAATTTACTTACCATTCCTTCATCTATGTCATTGATGTAAATCAAAAAGAGCAAAGGTTCTAGGACTGAGCCCTGAGGTACCACACTTGTGACGTTAATTCAGTTTGACTGAACTCCATTTATAACAACCCTCTGCATTCTTCCATCTAACCACTCTTCGATCCAATTAGCTAACTTATCCCCCACACCCACAGAGATAATTTTTATGTGGCACCTTGTAAAGTGCTTTCTGAAAATCCAGTTACACCAAATCTACACCCTTAGCCTCATCCACTTAAGCAGTAACCTTTCCAAAAAAAATGTCAAAAGATTTGTTATGGCAAGATTTTCCCTTATCGAAATCATGTTGACTATCCACTAAAATTCTAAACTTTGTTAAATGACTTTGCAAAGCATCTTTTATCAGACTTTACAAAACTCTTCCCACAACTGATGTAAGTCTAATAAGCCTATAATTACCGGGACAGTTTTTATCACCTCCCTTGAAAAGTGGAGTAACATTAGTCAACTTCCAATACTCTGGCACCTGCCCACTATTCAAGGACTTACAAAAAATAGTAGCAAGTGGCTCACATATCCAATCCTTAACATCCTTCAAAACCTTTGGGGAAATATTATCTGGTCCAGGAGCTTTAATGTGATTATCTTGTTTGATATTCTTTCCACCTATAACTGTCTTAAACAAATATACTGACAAGTTGACAACGTAATATTACTAGAAGGAAGTCGATGTATCAAAAAAATGAAAACACCACACAACTTTATTGGCTTAAACAAACACTGACAATGTGCAAAAAAAAATCTACAGCTTAATAACCTAAAATAGCTTTTCTGAGCCAAAACTACAAATGAGACTATATTAATAGTTATAAGCAATCACTCTTATGAATATACTGGTTGATAACACAGGCCTGTGAACTTAAACTTCATAAAAGTTGTTTTGGTTTTAATAATGGCTTTTCCATAATTTGAAAATAATATTAATTTTTTACTATCATGTAAAAATTTTTTTACAAATCAGGAATAAAAAAAACTTTTACTTAGATCAAGTTTACAATAAATATAACAGAATATGTTTGGGTCATTTACACAACCTCTTGTTGCCATAGCAGCGAATAAATAATTTTGAAAAGAAAAAAATAATACTATCCAGAAATGGAACATTATGCAGCTTGTTAACCCTTTTGAGACGGATCACAGGTGAAAGGCCATGTCATCTCGTTTGTTGACTCGCATTTAAAATTATATTGAACTACTATTTCATGCATTTATGTCAATAAGTTTATTACCAAACTAGATTATAATTCAAATTTTAGAACTATACATTACTCAATTTCTTTATTTAAAAGCAAATATTAAAAAACAACAGATAAACTCGATTTTTGTGTGGTATGTTGAATGCAGCACTGGTTCAAATAAGATGTTTGTGACGTCAAA